GTACCAGCCCGGAGGGACAGGTGAGGTCCCGCCGCTCCTCAGCAGTAGGCGGTGAGGCGATCGTCTGCGGGCAGGAGTGCGCGACTCCCACAAAATCATGCGCTCGCCTTCCTGCCAGCGCTGCAGCCTGTCCAAAGTGAAAGCAGCCGTGGCTCGCTTATGTTTGCGGCCCGCGGCCGGGCGCACAGAGCAAACACTGAGGGAGCATAAGCAACTCATGCCGGGACTTCTCATCATTGTGGTGCGCGACGGCAGCTAAGGCCCTTGTCAAAGTTTGGCCGCAAGCATGGCGTGCAGCCGTAGGCACATGCCGCAGGGTCGGGGTCCGGGCACACTGAATGTCCTCCAGCAAAGGCAGCGCCAAGCTGTCCACCTCCATGGCCTCGCCAGCTCCTATTGCAGCAGCCCTGGCTTCCGGGCGGCAGGTGCACCGAATCAGCCTCCGTGCTTCCAGCCAAGCAGCGAGAACATCGCCACCAAGACTCCCAGCCAAGTGGGCGTCCACATGCGCACGCTGGCCTCAGTGGCCCAGCCCCGAGCCCGCGCAGCATCAGCACAGGGGCAAGTGGGGACAGGGCAGTACTTGCAGCGGGTCGTTGCGGAGCAGCTTCAGTTGCCCACGTAGCGGCAAGTTGCCGAGGGGGCGAGCGCTCTCTGTAGTGTCTCCAGCCCCAGGTCCAGGATGGGCAGCTTCGCCAATGCGACCACCCAGACCAAAGCGTCCGACGCTGTAAGGGCTGAGCCTGCCACACTGACTGCTGGCGCCGAAATAGTCGGCCGCCTGAGGCTGATCTGAGCTGGGTTCCACAGCCCCATTCCGGGGACCCATGTCGAAGCCACCAAAGCCAATTGAGCCACATAGTCAGCGCGGCGCTCCCTTCTCCCAATGCTGCTAGGGACATGCTCAGAACTTAGCCTTCCATCCGACAGCTCGACTTCGCATAGTCGAAGTCGCCCAGCCCCAAGTGTAAAGAGGCAGCCCCAAAACACGGAGAGCCCCGAATAAGGTACAGGGGCAACCGGCCCGAGTGTCACCAGCTCACACTTCGCCAGGTTGCTGCCTGTTGTTGCACCTGCCGAGCGCAGCGGCCACAGCAGCGGTGCCCTGCCAAAACTCCATCATCCAGGAAGTGAACGGCCATGTCCGCCCGAGCGGAGGCCAGTGGCCAGAGGTTGCAATGCGGCAGCAAACAACACGGCCCCCAGAGAGTCACCCTGCTGCACTCCAGAACAGCTGCGCAGCACCGCTCCCCATACTGCAGGCGGCTCGGTCGTTGGTAGCACCACCTTGCCCATCAAGCCAACAAGCGTTGGAAAAGTCCAGCTTGACCAAAACCTTTTGCGCAGAGCCGGCGGAGTTGGGTCCAGGCTCGAACGGCATGGACAGCCTTCTCGGCACCTCCTTTGACAGCCACGCCCACTTGAGCTGGCCAACAGTGCAGCCGAGCTTCTTCCTTAACCAGGGCCATGAGGCATTTGCCAGTCAAACGCTTCAGGAGCTCCCCCACAGCAATGGGGCGAACGCCCCCATTTGGTTTGGGAAGGGCCACCAGCCCCGCCCCGGCAAGCACAGGTGCAACAAAGGCAGGGGCCCGTCCTTGCGCAAGGAGTTGTACCACAGCAGCCAGCTGCGCTAGCAAGGTGGGCCCGAAGGGTGAAGCGCTTCCAGGGCGCGAGCAGTCTCCTCAGTGCAAGGGCAGACGCCTAGCGACAACAAGGCCGCGCAGGCCTTTTTGTCAAACCCTTCGCTAGGGTTTAGGAGTTTGGGATTTAAGGTTTAGGGTTTCGGGCTTGTGGAATTAGGGTTCAAGGTTTTGGATTCAGGGTTTAGGGGTTTGGACAAAAAGTTTAGGGTTTAGGGATTTTGGATTTCAAGTTGACGGCTCAAGGAACCACTTGGCTGCAAACAAGCGGCCAGAAAAAGACACGCCAAGCGACCCAAAAAAAAACGTTTGCTAAGCGACCCAGAAAAATGTTTGCCAAGCGACCCCATTACCTTTCCTGCTTGGGTGTATTGTTGGGTTGATGAGGTTCGGCGGTGACCGCTCTGCTATGAGTGAGCCTCACTGGTTTGCATCTGTGTGAGCTTGCATGTTGCGCCTGCGTCTCCTCCTCATGCTCTCGCGTGGTCTCCAAGTGCTGAGCATCACTGTCACAAGCCAAGGGGCACCATCACTGGAGCACACGTCGAAAAGCTAGGCCACACGTGATAGCTGAGTCGACGAAAGCCTTGCGTGTGTCCCATGCGTCCTCGGCCTCTGATGTCTGCTCATCGTCAGCTGGAACATGAAATGAGTAACCGAGTAACCTTCTGCTGCGACTGCAGC